AAGACCAGCATATTTGCCTGGTTTTACAAGTTCTAGCTCTGTTTCATAAGTCTAGTCTTTACAGTAGCACCATCAAAAGTTTGGGTTACCTTTTTACTCGGGTCTTCCAAGTATGCTTTCATCTTCCTACCTGGTTCCCTTAATTTACATGGCCTAAGGACTTATCTTGGGTTCACACCACCTGGTACTGGTTTGTATTCTTTCATACAACGTTGTATGAGTGCCTTAGACCTTCCAGTTATGCTGGTATGACACAGGTTACAGGTATTCTATCCCAACCAATCACAGAAGACAGTTAGCCATAATACAGAAAGAATTGCAAATTTTCACTATCACTAGGATTTGAACTCTAGACCTACCACTTGGGTATTGACAACCTATTCACTTCACTAGATCACCACATCCCTCTTAAACAATATATTATTTATTTATGTCTAAACAATATTATATAAATACTGTTCAAATATAATATTGTTCTATACTAGCTATTATATTTGTAATCTGCTAAAAGATTATCTAATTAAACATACTAATCTTTATACTATATTAACAAATAGCATACAAGTTTCTATATATTTAAGTACTATTTAACTAATTTTGATCTTTTTTTTTTGTATAACTGTTAAGCTATTATATATTTTAAAGTATATTATTTAATTGTAAGGCTTTGGAAGACCTCTTTGTTAATTTTTTTTTGGTATTAAGATGAGGCCTTGCTCATATCTTTATTGGTAGTTTAAAAATTAGTAGCTACATAAAACTGCTATGTACAAAAAGTAATTTTCTATATAAATACTATAGCTAAAACCAACACTTGCAGTTAGGGCTAACTATTAAACTGCTAATTATATAGCTACTCTAAGTACAAATAAAAAAAAACTACATTCAAAAATAAAAGCTTAGACATATTTATCTGTGACCTAAACCTACTAGAGTGGTCAAGACTTATCTAGATTTGTAAGTTTAGAATATGGTTATAAGAAATATTGTATTTAATCTAAAGAATAGTCCAGATGTTGATTTTATCTTTTTGTTAATTAACTATCTATATTTAGTTTTTATTAATAAAACTTATTTTTGTAGAGTTATACAAACCTTAGTACTAATTTTATAATATATCTTTAATATTTATAATATGCTCCTTCTTGTTTTTAGTATTAGATTCTTAATTCAAATAGTTTAATAAGATTATAATTTGTTTTTAATATACTAGGATTCTAATATTTAATATTTTTTTTCTTTAGTTCAAAACTTCCAATAGTCTAGTTAATGATACTTCTTATCTAAAGTTTTTGTTTGCTCAATTTCTTTATATTGGTATCTATTTTCTAAATCTAACCTTTATAGTAATACTGTTAAAGATCTGTATTATCTCTCTATTTAGATTTATTTAAGTAGATTTCAGGTTCTCAGTTTTATAGATTTATACAATTACAAGAACTTATCTTGAGTTTGCACTACTTGGTATTGTTTTGCATCTTTCTGTATATCTAAGTTACACAAATAACTTATAACTTGCCAGTTATGCTAATGTGATCATAATTACAGGTATCTTATTTTAAATAATTAACAAAATACTATTATTATAATATCATTATATATATAGGTAATTATTAAATTTTTTACTATTAGTAAGGTTTGAACTCACAACCTACTACTTGGAAAATTGATAACTTATTTACTTTACTAAGTCATTACATTCTCCAAATATTTTATTCAAGTTGTTAAATTAAGATTATGTTTCAAAATTTTACTACTAGTAGAATTTAAATACTAAATTTATTGCTTGAAAAATAACAATTTAACTACTATACTAGAATTGCTATTCTTTTAAAGAAATCTTTTTATTTATTTTTTATTTTTTTTTAAATATTGATGAAAAAATCTTTTTATTAATATACAGAAAGTAAATTCTTATATAAATTTTGAATTATAAATAATTTTAAACTAAATAGACATTTGTTTTGCATTTTCTGATTATATAAATCAAGTTTCATTATTGACTTATTTTGTTAATTATTACATAATAATAAAAATTATATAATAATTTTTTTGCCAATTTTAAAATAGTTTAAATTAGTGTTGTTATGTCTATTATATCCAAAACTTTTTTAACTATGTTCAATATCTGAACATCTACATATCCAAGAATGTTTACAGCATATATAAGCTTTAAAAATTAAATATTTAATTTAAAAAATAAACAATTATATATTTTTTATAGTGTTAAATATTTTTATTTAGAGTTAAAATAGATTAACTTAATAAAATTTTGAATAATTTTAATTTATTTATTTGTTCGAACCATGTTCACAACTGTTCTGTGCCAAAACTGGTTTAAATGATCTGTAATAATTAGCCTAAATTATCTTGCAAGTTTCACCCTAACCCTAACGCAGACTGGGCATCATCTAATGCAATATTTAAAAAATTTCATACATTAAAAAAAATTTCTATGAAAAAAAACATTTCGCTCTTAGGTTAGGTTTAGAATAATTACTAGTAAGTTAGGTTTAGAAAGCTATGTTTATGCCAAATAAGTATGAAATTTGGTTTGTCAAAGCAAATGATTGACTGATATGTGCCACGTAGCAACCCAACAGAACAAATTTTGTGATCTTTATCATCGCATCATGATTTACGAATCGTAATTGGCTAATTTGAGATTGTTGTACTAAAAATAACAAGAAAAAAATCTGTCATAAGAGTTTGCATGATATTTTTATATTTTGTTGAACTTTTTTCACATTATACTGGTCTCGAAATCTGATTGGCTAGCGAAATTTTTTAATTTTTTTGAAAAAAAAATTTTGGGTAAACAATTTTTAATCCTTAAGCAAAAGTTGTAGATTAGGTCTTTCTGATTCTAATGATAGGAAAATTATTAAAATTGGATAAAAACTTATTAAGATATGAATTTTTAAATATTAGGATATAAAACTATATAATCACAGATAAAATTAACATAGATTTACGTCTGAGGCAAAACATATATCAGATATGAACTTTATTCAAATTTAAAAAAAGATCTATTAAGTCTAAAATTATACTAATGATAATAGTAAAATTATACAAGTCATGAGTGTTCGATTAAGGCATGGTACGATCAGATTGATTTAATTATTTAATTGTTTTCTGGTAGGTATAAAACGAAAAAGCCGAAAATACATTCGGCCTTCTAGTTTCAAATCATATAAGTTGAATTTAGTTAAATATTAAAAAAAGGTTTTTTTTTCTTAAAAACAACGGCATAGTAAACCTTCTTATTGAATCTGATTAAATTTGAAAGTAAGTAAACGAACGATATACCAAAGTGTTCATAGAGTTTCGTGGGTGCTTAATGTGCTAAAGTATTATAAAAAATTTTTGCGTGATCAGCCAATCAAATAATCAAATGGATATTTAATCATGTTCAGATGAATTTGATCATGTGCAGGATTTATAGATGTACCACATTATCATAAGCTTAGTCAAGTTTAGTCATCAATCAAGTGACACCTTAAAATTTTTTTTTAACACTCGAATCGATCGATACTTTCAATAGTTTTTATCACTTAATGCTTAATTCTAAAGGTTTTTCGCTAAGACCCCATAAGAATTCAAAAATATGGCGTACAGAATTACTCCACAGTTACGAGATAAAATTAACCATTTTGCACGCTTTCCTCAAACCGGCGTGTCTTTGAAGCAGATGGTCATGTTTGGTGCGCGTCTAAAATTCTTTTGGAATTTTATTGCTTCTCGAATAATCTAATTTTTTTATCTTACATGTTTTAGGTCAAAACCCTTCCCAAGGAACCTTATTGAGGGCAACCCAATTTTTGGCGGGTTCGATATATTCATATTTTTTTTTGAATTTTCAAGTGAATTTTGTTCGATTCTTATATAATTGGTTTATAGATGAGCTTCCGATTCGCATCGCGCATCGAATTAAAGAATTGGAAGAATTGCCTCATAATTTGAGTGAAATGCCATCAATAATCAGAGTAAAAAATTGGTATGCGCAGTCTTTTGAGGTATGAATAGTTTATAATTGACTTGGATTAAATTAGAAAATTTTTTTTTACAATTTTTCATCAAAAACTTTATATATGTTAAATATATACGATATTTTAGGAGCTTGTAAATTTTCCTAAAACTGAACTTCCATCAAATATAAGGGAGAGGCTTTCATCAGGTTCTATTATCCAAAAATTGCCGGACAGCGTTCCCCATCCGGCCAATAGTCCAAGTCATCCTGGGATATTAAAACCAGCTATTCCGATTGGTCGCAGGTATAATAGATTAAACTTAATTGTTTTTTTTATATTAATTAAATATCACGTTAATTGGATTGTAACGACGCGTTCTTTTTCGAAGGTATTATACGAAAATTGATGACGTCGAATGGCCTCCTGAAGTTCATTATTATAACGAAAAATTTACGAAGTTAATTCAAGTTATCAAAGCACGACATAATCCTGTTGTTACTACAGTGGTATGTATATTATATATCAAATATTATTTTTGATTCATAAAGTGTGGGTAATTTATCCTGATTTTTAAAAATTCTCAACTTTAGGGTAAGGTTTTTATGGCCATAAAAAACATTCGATTATACATGATACTTAAAATGAATCATAATAATGCACATCTTTAATTTTAGCACAAGGCATTCTGGAATATAAGCAACATAAGACAAAGACTGTAATAGATACGGACATTCAGGCCTTCTTAGATCGATTTTATATGTCACGCATAGGAATTCGCATGCTGATTGGTCGGTTCTCTAATTACATTATAATTTAATAACACTACCTACCAAATCACTGTTTTTCACGAGTTACATTTGCTACAAATTTCAACTAATTAAAGGTCAACATGTCGCGTTGAATCAGCCATCTTCTCGGTCAGATTATGTAGGTATTATTTGTACTAAAACGAATATTGCCCAAGCTGTCCAGGAAGCTGCCGACAATGCCAAATTTATATGTGAAGAGCATTATGGCTTATTCCGCGCACCTGAAGTCCAATTATATTGTCACAATGATTTGTTGTTTACGTATGTTCCGACGCACTTAAGCCATATGCTATTTGAACTACTGAAAAACAGTCTGCGTGCTGTTGTTGAAAAATTTGGTGAAGTGGACGAATATCCACCAATTAGAGTAATTGTTGCTGAAGGAAAAGAGGTAGAGAAGCAGAATGTTTCAAGAGACTATAATATCTTTATTATCCTTGAACAAGCGTTTTAATATAGAACAAAATAAAATAAAAATAAAATAAATTTTTTTAGGACATTACAATCAAAATATCCGATGAGGGTGGCGGAATACCAAGAAGTAGTATTCCTTTGGTATGGACATATATGTATTCAACAGCTAAACCACAAAAACTGGACCCTGAATTCAATCAGACAGATTTTAGAGCACCAATGGCCGGATTTGGATATGGGTTACCGATTAGCAGATTAGTACGTTGAGTCTATTTATTGTGACTAAATCTTTTATAATATCTAATACTAATTTCATACAACCCTTATTGGATAATACATTAAAGTATGCTAGGTATTTTGGAGGTGACTTGAGACTTATTTCAATGGAAGGGTAATAATAATTTAAATTTGTTACCGCTAATATTTTGCACTGAATATATATTTAATCTGGATTATACATTTTAGATACGGAACGGATGTTTATCTTCATTTAAATAGAATTTCAAATAGTGATGAACCTCTTCAATAATTTAAGTTTTATCTATGGCATATATTTATTAATTTCTGCAATAAAATTATATATAGACTAAATTTTCATAACTTGTCATTTATGTACGGACAAAAAATTGAGAACATCTAAGGTCCGGAAAAAAAAGCCTGATCTATTTTGGAATTTTTGAAGGCTGTAAAAATAATGTTCCACAATTGGTGCTTAAGCCGAAACTAGTATAGTAACTTTTTCTGTAACGAACTGACGGTTTTGTAAGAAAAAAAAAAGTTCGCTATAGAAAATTACTATGTTATCTTAAGGATCTATTGCATTTTCTATACCGAACTATTATGAAATTTTTAAAAATTTGAGTTCGTTATACAGAGGTTCATTATATCCGAGTCGACTGTATATGCAATTAGTATAATAAACTTCACTTTTATTAGACGGACTCCATTGCATCTCACACACGCCTGTTGCCAGTAGCAAGTCTTCAAAGTTAGATGGGTCGGCTCAGACCGATCCGTCTAACTTTGAAGATTTGCTATTGGCAGCAGACGTGTGTGAGCCCGTCTGCTAGGGTTGGAAATGGATTATATTTATTAAAAATGATTTTGTAATTTGTTAATAGATCATAATAGACCAATATTATTTATACAATCGACTCTGGATACCTCTGTATAGCAAATACTGAATGTAACGAACTCGAATTTTTAAAATTTTCACAATAGTTCGGTATATAAAATGCAATAGGTTCTTAAAAAACAGTAATTTTCCATAGTGAACATTTTTTTCTTTGAGAACCGTCAGTTTGTTATAAAAAGAGTTTACTGTAATCTATTAATTAGGTTTATCAAAGATGTTTAGTAAAAATTAACTTTTAAACAAATATATAAGATAAAATGAATATATCTCTTAAACTGTTTTCTAGGTAAATTTGTCTGGATTTTTAAATTAAATTTAATATTTTTTAAATAACAATAAATTATTAATAATATGAGGTACAGTTTACTTATAAAATATTTTATTGAAAATTTATTTTAAAACAATAAAAATTTAAAGATTTTATTTAAAAATTTTTATTATAAAAAATTTTTTTAAATTTTTTAAGATTTTATATGTTTCTGATTATCTTATATCTGTCAAATAATGACAGCATAATAGTATTATAATAGTAGAATAATAGTAAAATAATAGAAGGTTTGTTGATATAAGTAACATAATAATAACATAATAGTAAAATAATAAAACAGTTTTATTTTATTTTTAGTCTTTGTAATTAAAGTAAAATAATAGAACTGTTTCATTATTTTACTATTATATTACTATTATATTACTTATTTTATTATTATTCTGCTATTATGTTGCTATTATATTGTTATTATTTGGTAGATATAAAGTAAAATAATGGTAAATTTTTTTATTATTATTTATTTATTATTTATTTTTTATTTATTTATTTAACTTGTATAAAACTAAAAAAAAAAAATCATTCTTAATATAAGTTTAAATTTTTTTATAAATAAATTAAAAAAATTATAATATTTTTTTTTTAAACTTAAACAGTTATACTAATATTTTATTAAGAATTTTGAAATTATTAAGTTTGGTAAAAAGGCAGATAAAAAGGCAGAGGTATACTAAAGTATTAGGATTATGCTATAAAGTAGATGCTAAGGTCTAAGTGAACTCTACAAGAGCATAATGGTTTAATGATTAGACCTGACTGCAAGTGTTGATTTTGATATAGCAATACCTAGATCAGCTGTAAAAATAAGCACAGAAGGTTCTAAGAGGTTTATCTTAAGGATAAATAGTTCTAAGATTGAAACAATAATCTGAGTATCTGGGTATAACTTAGTAATGTTAACACAGATTACAGGTTCAGAAGGTTTAAAATAGAACATCCAAGCAGAAGTGTTAGGTATAATAATTGGTAGAAAACTTTCAGGTGGATTCCTTAAATAAGTAATATAGAAAAGTTATATATATAGTCAATTGTACATTCTTCTGTAATAGTTCATTGAATCACAATATTGATAACTGATTAATAAAAGTTAAAAGACCAAAGAGGTCACCTTAATACTAAAAAAAAAAAAAAATTTTGAAATTATTGTTACAATTACATAAATATATCTAACTAAGTCTAGTATTACCTAGTCATCCTAATAGTATCTAAGTACAACTTATTACATTATTTCAAACAGAAATAAGCTACTTGTTTAACTACTTAAAGTTCATAATGAAAGAGTCTTTTTTCTTTTATAATAAGTTTTAAAATTATTTTTTTAATTTCATCTTTGATTCACTTTTTTTTTTTTATTTTATTTTTTTTTTTTATTTTTTGTTAACTAGTCTTTTTCTTATTTGGATTATTTTTTTGGAAGTTTATTTTTTATTTTGTTAGTTATATCTGTTTTCTTTTTCTATTTATTACTTTTTTCATATCATGTTTACCAAACTTATTTATAAAAAGTGTTTCAAACTGTTTTTACTAATATATTCACAAATTGTTGTCTTGTTTTTGTGTTTAGAAATTGGATTAATCTGTCTTAAGTTATTTTTAAAATTAGGTCTTTGATTAATATTTTTCTTATTTCTAATTCTTCTGTTTCTATTTTGTTAAAAAGTACTATATATAATATATAAGATAGAACACTGGTTTTTTTTTCTTCTTTTAATTCTTTCTGTATTATTGTAATAGATACTTTTTGTATTTTTTTTTAAAGATTTGCTTGTCTCTTACATGATACCAAATGCACTTGTGTTTCTTTAACTTTGTCTTGATATATTTGGCATTCTGTATTTATATATAAGTCTGGTCTTCTTCTATTAAGTTTTTCTATTGTTGAAAGTTTATCCAATACATATTTTATAAAAATGCTTCTTTTCATATTACTTCTTTTTGTTATACAATATACTTTTTTGATTAACTTCAGTTTTTTCTAAAAATATACTTAATCATAAATTATTACTTCTGTTATTAGTTCTAGATTCTTAATTATTATTGTTTTTTTCTATTTTATACTTAGTCTGACATTTGTTACTAACTTATATAGAAGTCTTGGTGACATGTCTATTCATTTGTTTTTTCACTTTAGGCAGTTCTCTATCTTTTTTAACTAATTTCTTTTATATATATTATCTTTTTATTATAATTTTTTATCTTTTTTTTTATTTATTTATAATATCAAGTAAGAAAAATTGATAATACATGAGCATGTCAATCAGACATAATTGTATAACTAAATATTATTCCTAAACTATACTATTGT